AACTTTGCATAGCCAGGGACTGAATGTAAATTGCTGGCTTGGTCAACACGTAAATTGTCAACTGTTCCCTTCTATTTCATCAGTTCCAGCAGAGACTATTATGAATACAGGCCTCCTGTCCTTTAGGGTGATTAACATTCCCTTTCGTTAGTGTCCCCAACACTGCTGACCCACATTCAAGTTGTGAAATTCAGTTATATGTAAACGGCAATGTTCTGCATCAGCAATGTGTGCCAGACCATTAGAGCCAGGCGCACACAGCACACGCTCTCCTTCTCTCTGTAAATAAACGCAGTCCTCAATTTGAAAATGGCTAGAGAAATCCCGGTCCTTCCACACAAGAACAGGCACCAAACTATTCCCTGCTTTTCTTTTTTAGGGAAAAGGGGACGCAAGCCAGGGACGCTCAAGCTGTTATCTTCCAATGTCGTGTCAAAGTCCACTTGACCTGGTAAATGTCCACAGGAAAGGAAAACAGACTCCAGCGCCCCACCAACAGACCCCCTTTAAAGGCAGGCACAGCAATGAACACCAGCCTACGTCGTTACGACTTCCACCTTTGTGAAAAGGTCTACACAGACAGGGTACAATATATTTTCCAGCTTATGCAGACGTTCGCCCTGGAATTCCTTTCGAGACGTCGGATGAGCGCAGTTCCCAAGGAGGGGCCATGACGCGCAAACCAGCTTTTCTCTAAGAGAATGTGACACAGGGTCAAGTTTGTGCAGGGATTTGGTGGCTATATTTGAACGCTGCCCCATTCTTCTGCGCAGCTACTACTGGAGGAGATCACCTCTGGAAGGGGCTGCCAGCACACTCAGCAACTGGACTATGGTTGCGTTTCGTGATCTAAGAATTTGTTCAGATCACCCAATGGGACCACTTTTGCCAAGGCTTTCCTTTCTTTTAAGTCGTTTCCACTAAGTCGAACTGTTAAAAGTACTACCATGATGCAAATGAGCTCTCGGTAGCGTTAGTTTGCATCCCCGCTGCCATTCAGAAAAGCCTTCCCATACAGGTTCACCCCTTCCAACGCGTTTTACGTTGATACCTCCCCTCTAACCTCCTGAGTCCCAGAGCTCGAAGCAAGTAGCTCCTCTCCCCGAGTCAGTAGCCACGGCCCCATCAGTGAAGGAAAAGTACTGAAACAATAGCGCCCCGGGTTTGCAGGCAAAAACTGATCCATTTGCTCACACCCCTTGTCACGGGCTGGGATTTGAAAGGAAACCTGACCTCAGAGCTGAGAAAGCTTCCAGGTCAAGTTTCAGCTCCAAGCCGTTCCAGCTCAGCCTTCCAGGCACCGAGCAGCACAGCCGAACAGATGGCAGTTGTTCCAGAACAGGTATTTCCCCGGCCTCGGAGAGTGCTTGGACTTCAGAGGGATTGCATCTCCTCCACGCACCAGCACAGGAAGACATGCAAGCGCACCAAACCCACCACTGTAGTAACTCGCACACACTCCACCTAGGCTCCATGGTGGAGGCAACTACTAAACCCACCATCCTCTCGGAAAAGAGCTTCCTAAAGCCAACAAACTACCCCCAGCCACCTCACGGCGGTAGAGATGAGCACCAACTGCTATTTAGCAAGGCAGGAGTTTTATCAAGCTTCGCATCCTCTTCCATCATCCGTCAGCAAGGCGTAAAAGCCAGCCTTGGCCCTGCCAATGTTGAATAGGATTTCCAGACAAAGCGTGCCTGCGTTTTGCCATCCTTCAGAGACATCAACTATTCCCACGCAAAAGACGGTCCCTCCACCTCACTATCTTGCAAACCTCAGAGTTAGCACTGCTCAAAAGAACCTGGGCTCAATGAGGGAGGCTGAAAACAGGAACGCAACTTCTAGCTGCAGGAGCGATCTCCGCTCAGGAAAATCGGTCTCCTGCATCTGAAGCATCTGAACTTATCGCTCCTGCTTCTATCAGCCAAGTTCAGCTTCCTAATGGGGAAACCAACGGTCAAGCCCTGCATGGAACCACAGCAGCTGAAGTACAGGTTAAGCTGCAGCATCTAGCGCTTGAAGGCACAGGAACAGACGTCAGCTTATACAAGACAGGCAAATATAACCCGATTCTGAAAAGAACTGTCCGGAAGGCGTTAAGCAACCGACGTTTACATAGCCCTTGACTTTAATTTTACTTAGTTATCTGGGCCAAAAAGCTGGAGTTTCAGCAGATGACCGTAACTTTGGATTTCTACCAGTGCTTCAATGGAACGCGACTCTCGTAACGTTCAGGAGGACAGCTAAAGCACACGGGCCGAAACCATGTTCATGGCCTCCATCAGCAGCGCGTCCGAGGTGCTACTACGGTGGCCGAGGGCAGGGCAGCCGCACGGACGAGTGGGGCTTAGCCAGGGCTCGTCCCCGCTCCCCGCTGCCTTCCCATCCCCGCTTTTGCTTCTGTCCCAGTTTTCACCCTGCAACAGTTTCTGGAGAAGACTTCGGTATTATTGCCGCCGGCAGCCTGTGCCGGCATATGCAGCAAGAAACCCCCCCTCAGAGAGGACGGCATAACAGGCAAAATCATGACTGTGGCAGCGGTCCCTTTCTTCCTCACAGATCTTCCAAGGGCTCAGGGAGCAGGCGAGGCCACTGGCCCAGGAAGGCAGGCCATACCCGGGGATGCCTGTGCCCTAGAACCGCTCCCCGGGGCAGCCCCTTTCTCGCCTTATTCCTCGCGGTCTGCTGCATGGCCCCCGGAGGCTGGGGGAGAATCGGTTGCCGAAAACCCTCCGCCCGCCCGACGGGGCCGGCGGTGTTGCCCTGTACGTCAGATGGCATCCCCGGGCTCACAAAGCAGCCGGTCGTTCCACCTCCATATTGAGCCGGGCGAGAGCAGAGCGACGGACACAGAGTTCGCGGCGGGCCCCGCCGGTGAGAACCGGGGGCTCCGGGAGGAGGTGGGGGGAACACGACGGGCCGGCGGCCAGTCCCGCTCACCGCCCCGCCGGCGGCGACCGCGGCGAAGGCCCCGCTGACAGCTGCCCCTGCTCTGCCCCCGCTCGCCAGACCGGCGCTGACGCCACAAACGCCGTTTTCCGCGGCCGCTCAGCCGCCCCGGCGGGGCGGGCAGCGCTCTCCTCCGTCCCGGCGGCCCCAGACCGAGCCGCGGG